CGAAGTCCTGGGCCAATTCCCCGTCAAGTGGAGTACCAAGGTTCTCCAATTGTTCAATGAATCATATCATCTTCAGTACATGTTGATGTACTAGAGCCCCTTTGACCATCTTGGTCTTCACAAGTTCACAAACAATGCTAAAGCGACGGTTGCGCGTCCCTTCACCATATAACTCCGTAAGATGGAGTATTATGGAAGATGCACTGTCCATGCCCTCGTGCTGTCTCTGTAGCTCCTCATTCATGGAAGCCAACGATAGCACTTGGCTTGTGTGTCTTCCTCAACGTGCTTGTCAAACTTAGCATGTTCATCCTCAGTAGCCTCAGGGCTGAGAGGTATGTGAGGTGGAGCCTTGTCTAGTACGTAAACAATCTTCTCCAATGTTAGGAGAATCTTGACATTACGATACCACGATGGGAAATTGTGCCCCTCTAGGCAATGTTTGTCGAGTATTTTCGCGAGTGTGCTTCCAACCATATCTAAATACATAAACAATAAAATAAATAGTTTGATTGTCGATTAAGTCAAACGATTCGGGTCTTTAAACCGAATGACACCACCCACCATTTTTGGCAAATTCCATATCCCTCAAGATGAAATCCAGGAGTTTTCAAAGAAAGCTCCTAGCGGGTTATGGGAGGCTCACTATTACCAAACCCACCTCACGATGATACGATGTTGGCTAGCAAAAATAATAATGAGAGGGTACAATTACCCATTCACAATAACCTCTTGTGATTACCTATCTTTTTGGCCTCTAGAGAACAATGCTTCACGATGATACGATGTTGGCATCATTTCTCTTAGTTAAGTTCTTTCCCACCATGCCGGTTTAGATAGGGGTTCAAGCATGACCTCACGATGATACGATGTTGGCCACACTCGTTGCCTACCTTAACCTCATCAAATGTTTTAAATAAACTCCTCCTGCATATAAGCATGCACTTTGCACTCCCCCATGATAGGGTGAAGGCGGTGTACAAGTCATAAACGATTGGAGCCTACCACGGTGGAAGGCCACCAAAAAGTGTTCAAAGCACTCTTACACTTTCAACTTAATATTGTATGTTGGTTGAGGGATTTTAAGGTCTCATCTATTTTATTTATTTAATCACATTCAAATAAATAATGTCCTATTACAACTACTAGTCCAAAGTTAATGAAATTAGTAGCATATGATATCCCCACTATTCGTTTTCATAAAACAAATCAATATCAAAACATTTTTCAAAATATTGGAGATATATATAACTACTAATTGTATTCATTATAGTTTAGTAGCGTATGATACTCCCACTATTTGTTTTAAGAAAAACAAATCAATATCAAAAACGAATTTTTTCAAATATTGGAAGTAACTACTACTACTAAGGTTTTTGCATTCCTTTGAAATTGGACTTTATAGTTATCTTAGGCTCTTGGATGACCATGGACTTATTAGGTTATTGCAACAACGAGCCAACATTGTTGAATATAAACTCGGGGAGGTTGTGTCAATTTAATTACGTGCTTTTCAATCCAATTAAAACATTTTCATTGAGCCATTAGAAATGAAAGACAATCATTCATTGCTAATAAGGGCATTGGACCCATTTAATCTTTAATATCATGTCAAAACCCTCTTTTAGTTATGTCTCCTTACCAATAGTTAAAGAAACTCTAGTCTAGCACTAGAGGGAATCAACTAACTAAAAGAGATTAAGAAATAATAAGAATTACAAACCGATTTGTACAAATTCCTACAAATTACACATACTAAGAGGGAGAGATAGATTAATGTCAAACGTGACAAGGTCCAATAAAAACTGTAATTAAAACACATTCCCAAGGTTCAAACAATTTGATTTTAGCGCCTGATCTCATAGCTCAATTATCGTTTAAGGCATAAGTCCATAGTCACCCTTTTCTAACTACTTAATCACATTAAATAATCAAAATGGAATGCAACATGAACATTTAGATTTAGTGCATATGGGCATAATAGTATTATGAGTTTAAACAACTAACAAAATTAAAATCAAATATTTTAACTTTCTAGTTAGTAGGGGCCTAAATGCAAATAAGAAAAAGTTAGGGGTCAAACCATAAATACTCAAAAGTATAAAATATCTTTTTCCAAATTACAAAAAACCCCCCAAGTGGATAAATCCACTAGGGTGGCCGGCCACATTAAGGGGAGATGGGAAGTTTCACCCATCTTGCTTTAATTCAATGCAAAGTAGAAAAAATCCAAATTTGCTTGTCAGTTGGTTTTGGCATTAAAACTTAGGTGAAAAGGATTGATGGAAATTTCCTAGTCAAGTCTAGGATTTAATAAATTTTGGGAAGGCTATGGATGATAAGTATATCATCCAAAATTATAAAACAATTTATGAAAACCAAATAAAACCATTTTCACCAAAAACAAACCATGAACACCAAGAACAAAACCATGAACATATTTTCAAGATTTGTGTATTCTTGGTGATTTTTCAAACCCAAAAACTAAAGTGACAAGGGTTCTACTTTCTAGCTTTAAAATGATGTGTGAGTGTCTTACAACAAAACACAAACACATGCCCAAAAAACCCCCTTAATGCCGTGCCTACCACAAGGAACAAAACCCCAAATTTTGTTCATAACTTACTCTTCATTCATGCATCCAAAACACCTTTTTACATGCATATCTTTTTCAACTCTTGATTTATATTTTTCAACCATTGAAAAACAAAAGATAAACATACTTTAAATGAAGAAATAATATGTCAAACTAGTTCAAAACTCAATTTTCATTCATGCATACAAAACATCTTTTGCATACATATCTTTCTCAACTATTGACTAACATTTTTCAACTATTGAAAAACAAAAGATAAACATATTTTGAATGAAGCAATAATTATGTCATACATAATATTAATACCCATATGCATAAAATCCAAAAGGACACATTATACATAAACCTTTGGCTCTGATACCACTTGAAGGGAAAACTATGAGTTTAACACATGGGATTTCGAAATGACTAGCATGCATATACAATTCAAAATTTATATACATAAGCAATGGAAGCATGTTATCAAATAATATCAAAGCTATAGTCATGCAAATCCCCTTCAAGGTTCATAGGTTTATATATAATGCATCTAAAACATTCAATTTAAGAACTAAGTGAAGGTATAGATCTATACCTCTTGATCTTGATTTTAGACCAAGGATGGACCACCTCCAAGCCCTTTGCTCCTTGAAGGCCTTGAGCCTAGCCTCCCTCCTTGCCTCCTCCACTTTGTTAGTAGGAGTGCTCCAAGGTTCTCCTTTAGTCTCCAAAGGAGAAGACCTCTAAATATCCACACCCACTAGTGTAGTGAGATGGATGGAGGAATAACCAAAAGGGTGAAAGATTGTTAGCTAAATCACCCTCAAGGTGGCCGGCCTTTGGTGTTTTTAGAGAGATGTTTCTTTTGCCTCTTTGTTGTTTTAAAACACACAAAAACCCTAAGGAATAAATCTCTACAAAGTTCCTTATATAGACAAAAAGAAACCTAGTCAACAAATTGACTTAATATCTCTCCCTCTCCACTTTAAATGGCCGGCCCCTTTGTGTTGGTTTGGGCTTTGGGCTTTTATTTATTTCTAGTCATCCAATGCTTGAATAAAAGCCCAATGGACCCAATTAAACCCGAACGTTTCTTTAAGCCCAAAACGATCTTTTATCGCTTTTATGATTTCTTTAGACTTTCTAAATTAATCACAACACTTAATTAATCCAATTAATTATTTCCATCATCCATTAATTACTCACTACTAGAGTGTATCGGTGTACAATCATTTTAGGTTCTAATTAGCAAGGCAGTGAGGTGATTGACATCAATCCAATTGATTATATTTAATCCAATCACTTAGTGAATTAAAACTTCCTTTTAATTCACCTTTCTTCTTTGATGACTACATTTAATCATCTAGAAAGAACTCACAAGCTATGAGTGACATCTAACCATATGTCATAGCTACCCAAGCTAATGTAGAAGTTGTTCGGAGAACCTATTCAGTTGGAATTACAATGTAATTCGATCCTTCTCTAAAACAATACTCTCAATCACATTACTAGGGTATGGATATATTATGTCAAACCCCTAATGTGATTATTCCTTCTTATATGATTCTATTGAGTCGTATAGGAACGCTTTCCTTTAGTACGCTCGATACTTCGGCCGAAGGTTCCCGAATCATATCTTAGAGTATTCTTCCTCTCTTATCGAGGATTAGAGATTCCTTGTTGCGCATTCACTTGCCTTCATGACTAAGTGGCTTAACCCCAATTATGCCGTGGACACCCACGAATGGGGTGACTTTGACATAATCAAAGATTAAGTACTTAGCCACAAGACAACGACGATGCCTCAGGTCAAAGGACTACTTACATTATTCCAACCATTAGTGTTACTTGCTTGACATGTGAGTAGACCTCCATGCAAGTACTCTCGTTCGATTGTGTTCAGTGAACTCATTCCCTAAATGAGCACCTACATACTTGTCTTAGTGTCACTACACAAATGGGATGAGACTTTCCATTCTTCCATTTGAAGCGGACACAGTATGTACTGGTCTAAGCATTATCAGTTTCCCTTCGACAATCCAATGACCAAGAACCTTTTGGACATAATGGTTATGTGAATAAGGTCTCTGTAGTCTAACATCATTAGATTACTTCTTCAATCGATCCATTGTCCATGGATTCATTATTTAGGACATATATCGTTAATTGAGATAGTCCTAATTAGTATCTTTGCCATTTGATGTATAAGAGTCATCTATACATCGATTCATTTGTCCTGAAAGGTTTCTTCCAAAGATTGACTTTCAGGGCATATTTCCAACATGAATTGAGTGGATATTGTAGGTAAGGTGAGTGTATGATGTATATGAAATGAATGTATGATGTAGGTGAAATGAATGGAGGTTGTAATTTTAATACAATTGTCAATATTTATTTCATTGAAATTTCAATGTCTACAGTGGTTATGCCAGCTAATCTTATTCCATTAGATATTTTTGACTTTGATGTAATCTTAGGCACAGATTGGTTGCATTATAATCGTGCCAAGATAGATTGCTACGGGAAAATAGTTGCTTTCCATCGTCCTGGATTACCTAAAGTTACTTTTGTGGGTGAACATAGTGGGGTGAGGCACGGTATTATTTATGTTGTAAGAGCAAAAAGGTTGTTATCGAAAGGTTGCCAGGGATATTTAGCTCATGTAGTGCTGAATGATGTTGCTTTTAGTAGTGTGGAGGATGTTCGAGTAGTCAGGCATTTTCCTGATGTATTTCTTGATGATTTACCTGGATTGTCGCCAGATCGTGATGTGGAGTTCACCATTGATTTGTTTCCAGGTACGGATCCTATATCTTTGACTCCATATAGAATGGCTCCTGCTAAATTGAGGGAATTGAAAGTCCAATTGCAGGAATTAGTCGATAAAGGTTTTATCCAGCCTAGTACTTCACCCTAAGGAGCTCCAGTTTTGTTTGTATGGAAGAAAGGCGGGACTTTGAGGCTATGTATTGATTATAGGCAATTAAATCGGGTAACAATTAAAAACCGTTATCCGTTGGCACGTATAGATGATTTGATCAGCTTCGAGGTGCCTGTGTGTTTTCTAAGATTGATTTGAGGTCTGGTTATTACCAATTGAAGATCAGCAGTGAGGATGTCCTTAAAACTGCTTTCAAGACTCGTTATGGTCATTATGAGTTTCTTGTGATGTCATTCGGATTAACAAATGCACCAGCAGCTTTCATAGATTTGATGAATCAAGTATTCCAACCATATATAAACAAGTTTGTCATTGTTTTTATTGATGAAATTTTGGTATACTCTAAGTCTAAGGAGAACATGTTCAACATCTTACTTAGGTGTTGAAGAAATTAAGAGAACATCAGTTGTATGCTAAGTTTAGCAAATGTCAATTTTGGTTGAGTCAAATGGCAATTTTGGGACATGTCATTTCTGCTCAAGGTATTCAAGTGGATTCTCAAAAAGTGGCAGTAGTGGAGAATTAGGAACAACCTCGAACCGTCACTGAGGTACGGAGTTTTCTTGGCCTAGCAAGCTATTATAGACGGTTTGTTAAGGATTTTTCAGTCATTGCTTTGCCATTAACGAGGTTGACTAGAAAAGAAGTTAAGTTTGAGTGGGATGATAATTGTGAGCAAAATTTTCAACATTTAAAGTATTATCTCACTCATGCACTTGTTCTGGCACTCCCAGATCATAGTGGTAATTTTGAGGTCTACAGTGATGCTTCCTTGAATGGCCTAGGTTGTGTGTTAATGCAACATGGTAAGGGTGAGTGCTTATGCTTCATGACGATTAAAGCCTCATGAGATGAATTATCCTACTTATGATCTGGAGTTAACAGTTATCATCTTTGCTTTGAAGATTTGGAGACATTATCTCTATGGTGAGAAATGTAAGATCTTCACAGATCATAACAGTCTTCAGTATCTTTTTACTCAGAGGGATCTTAATCTTCGGTAGCGGAGGTGGATTGAGTTGCTTAGTGATTATGATTGCACGATTGAGTATCACCCTGGTCATGCGAATGTAGTGGCTGATGCATTTATTAGGAAAACTCCAATTAGACTTAATGCCATTTATGTTTGCCATGTTCCTCTTCTTGTGGATTTAAGGTCCACTGAAGTGAAGTTAAGAGTGGAAGATCGAGAGAAAGCCCTACTTGCAAATTTTCAAGTTAAGCCAATTTTAATTGATCATGTACTTAAGGCCCAGATGGATGATGAAGAGACCTAGGAAATAATTCAAGCAAGGAATCAGGGAAAGAAGAAAAACTTCAGAATTCGAGAAACTAATGGCATGCTTATGCAGGAGAGTAGGATGTATATGCCGAATAATATGGAATTAAAGAAAGCAATTCTTTATGAAGCACATATTTAAGCTTATGCTATGTATCCAGGAGGTACAAAAATGTATCATACCATTCGACCATTTTATTCTTGGCCAGGTATAAAACGAGAAATTGTTGAATATGTGATAGAAGCATATTTATGCGACTGAGTTAGCTTGTTCTCATGCATTTATGTTGTTATTTCTTAGTTAATTATGTATTTTAAGCTATTTTCGTGTGTTTGTAGGTCCATAGGCCTTATGAAGCAATAAGATGCTTTTTGGTGCATTTTGGAGTAATTTTGGGCTTGGAATGAATAGCACATGCATGGAGCAAGGTGGATGGACGAAATTGAAGACTAAATAGGCTAGGAATGTGTTAAAGAGAAAGAAGAATTAATGTAAAAAAGACAAAGAGCTTAGCCACAAAGGGGTGTCACTCCACCATTCACCTTTCCATCATTGCCGTGCACCACCATTCCACCTCCCTTTCCTTTCTCTACCATGTGCACAATCATTCATGTTCCCTAGCTGTAACACCACTCTATTTTACCCCCATGCTTTGCATCATCACTTCACTTTCACCTTTGAATCATTTCAAACACCACTCATTGCACTCAATTGCTACACAATTCCTTGTTCACTCTATCATTTCAGATTCATGCATCATTACATTGAATCATTGCACTCAATTGCTACACCATTCCTTGTTCCCTCCATCATTTCAGATTTCATGCATCATTACATTGAATCATTGCACTTAATTGCTACACCATTCCATGTTCCCCTCCATTGCCATGCACTTCCTCTATAAAAGGAAGTGTGTGTAACATAAATTTAATTCATACTTGGTTAGATCGTTCACTTCCATTTCAACACAACCTTCATCCAAACACATCCATTCATCTTCACATCCATTCCTCCATACAAACAAACCTTCAAACACTCACCAACACCTTGTGTTGTAGCAAAGGAAGGGAAGGAAAGTGCTTGGATGTGCTTGCTGTCCAACTTGGATCGTTGGAGCATTTAGGTGTTTTCTTTCTTTTGTTTCTAATGTTTAAATTCATTTCCTTTCATTTTGTTGTAAATATGAATGGTTAAACCCCTCTTGGCTAGGGGTGATTTCAAAGCCATGATTATGTGTGCAATATAATTTGATAAACTCCAGTTATGAACTCTTGAATCGTAAATGCAATTGGCTTAACTATTTGATTGATAACTTATTTGTATTTGTTAATTAAGGGTTGACACTTAATTGGCATGCATAAATCTGTTGCTAGAATACAAGGAAGTTTCACATCGTTACAAACTTATATTCACATGTAGTGAAGGTCGCTTATAAACGATCGTGTTAAGTTCAATTCTTAGCATGAGTGACATGATGCCATAGTTGCAAGTGCTTTGTCAATGCTTATGATTTTCATTAAACATAATGATCTTTGATTGTATCTCTATTATGATGTCATGTAGAGAACTTTAGAAGAATGTTTTGGGTTGTCGAATGATGTCATCCAATCCAATAAAACAAGGAAAATCTGAGAGTTAACTAGTGATGTCACGGTTAATTTGGAGCATTGTCATTCATAATTCAATGAAGTAGTAACTGGAAATCGAGTTATTTGCATACATGTCATGTGTGGAGAAAAAGCCTCTAGCTATCCTATCCATCATCTTATTTCTCACATTCGTTTTACAATCTGTCTAGTTTTTCATACTTGTTTGTTTGTTTCAACTTCATCCAAATCAGAACCCCCCTTTTAGTTTTTTTGTTTCAAAGTGTTTCAAATCTGTTTTAGTTTGTGTTTTTAAGTGTTTTGGTTCAAGTAAAAGTCAATTTTCGTCCAAAGTCATTCCTAGTGTCTGGTTTAAGTTTATTTGGTTGTTTTAAGTTGTTTTGAGTATTTTAAGTTTGCTTTGAGTCTTGTGAGTCTTGTTAAGTGTTTTTAAGTTTAGTTTTATGTTTTTGAGTCAGTTTAGAGGTTATTAGCAAGCCCTCCTAATCCCCGATCCAGAACGATCCCTACTTATACTTGTACTACAATTGTCAAAAGAGGGTTAAATTTGTGTGTTAAGATAATTTTCACATCAATATGTGAGTAGGTGTGTTATCTGTCAGCAAGTCAAAGCAGAAAGAAAGAAGCTTTTTGGATTGATGCAGCCACTTCCCGTTCCACAGTGGAAATGGGAAAATATTACTATGGATTTTGTGTACAAGCTTCCTCATACACAGAATGGTTATGATGGCATTTGGGTGATAGTTGATCGGCTTACTAAGTCAACACATTTTATTCCTGTGAGGGAGAAATATCCTTTAAGCCGATTAGCTGAATTATTTATATCGAAGATCGTGAAGTACCATGGGATTCCAGTTAGTATTATCTTATATCGAGATCCTAGATTCACTTCTAAGTTCTGGATAGCATTCCAGGAAGCTTTTGGTTCGAGATTACTTTATAGTACATCATATCATCCTCAAACAGATTGACAATCAGAGATGACTATTTAGACGTTGGAAGATATGTTGAGATATTCAGTATTGCAGTTTGGTGACGCTTGGCATAAGCAGTTGGATTTAATGAAATTTGCCTTCAACAACAGCTTTCATTCAAGTATTGTTATGTCATCTTTCGAGGCTTTTTATGGTAAATCTTGTCGTACACCCTTATGTTGGTCAGAGGTTAGTGAAAAAGTTTTGGTGGGCCCTGAGATCATGGATGAGACTACGCAGAATGTTCAAGTGATTAGGTCTAACCTGAAAACAGCCCAGGATCAACAGTAGAGTCTAGCAGACAGACATGCCACTGATCGGGTGTATAATGTAGGTGATTAGGTGTTTCTGAAGCTATCACCGTGGTAAGGTGTGGTACGGTTTGGGAAGCAAGGTAAGCTAAGTACCTAGGTACATTGGACCTTATATGATCACCGAGCGAGTCGGTGAGGTTGCTTACAGACTCGAGTTGCCTCCAGAGTTATCAAAAGTGCACGATGTTTTTCATGTCTCTATGCTTCGTCATTATATTTTTGATCCTTCGCATGTGATACCTCCTCAACCATTGGAAATTAATCCAGACTTGCCTTATGATGAGGAGCCAAAAACTATTTTGGATTGGAAAGATAAAGTTCTGAGAAATAAGACGGTGCGCCTAGTGAAGGTTTTATGGAGAAATCACTTGGTAGAAGAAGCCACCTGGGAGACAGAGGACCGGATGAAAGATATGTACCCAAGGTTGTTTTATGATTATTAGTGGATTGTAATTATCGTATGGAAATTTCAGGGACGAAATTTTCTTAAGGGTGTAGGTTGTCACAGCCCGTCTTGAATTATTTTATCTACAATGTGAAATGTCTATTTTGCCCTTGGACGTTGAGATGTGTTGTGTGTGACATGCTTTTGGAAGTGGACCAACATGTTAAGTTCCTAAGTTTTGGACTCAATTAGAAGTTAGGCTTTTGTTGGTTTTGGTTGGTGACAAGCTGGACCACATCCTCACACACACACACCACTCCCGTGTACTCTCTCTCTCCTCCCTCTCTCGGATTTCATTGCCATTTCCGTACAACTTGTATGGACAACCCTTAAAACCCTTACAACAACACGGATCAAGGTCATGAATGGTATTTTTGGACTCCTTGCAAGCTTAGAAGTCGAATGGTGGTGGTGGTGGTTAGACGTGAATTCTTCAAAAACCCAAAAACCCAGAAATCCCAGATTTGAGCACTGTTCAGGCAGTCCTAATTGTGGACTTTTCAACGAGTTTTAAGGTTCTATGAATCTTTAGGACATCTTCACGAAGCTCGGGGAAGAAAGTTGGAGTGTTTTGGACGTCGGGAAATTAAGTTTGACGAGTTTCAATTTTTACTGGATTATCGAGGTTTCTCCGACGAGATCCCGTGGATTTCAAGGCTTGAAAGTGGTAAGAATGTGTTCTACTCACTCTAAGCTTCATTTTGAGACAAATTTCATGAATTTTGGTTAAGAAATGAAGAAGATATGAAGTTTTAATGTTTTTCCAAAAACCGACGATCCCAGCAGCGCCGGCGATGGTCTCCGGCGAACCAAGGAAGACGAAGAAGAATATTCTGTCAAGTTTGACGGAATATTCTAACAACGTTAGGTAATGCCGTTAATTTCTGTCAGGGTTTTAACGAAACATTCTAAACGGCAGTTAAGTTTCCGTCATGGTTGGCCGCGCATGGGGGAGCGTCTGGCCGTGCCTTGGTCGGTGCATGAGGGTGCGTGGGTGCTTGGAAAATTTTTCTAAAAATATGGGGATATTTCTGAGGTTGAGTAGGTCATGGTTGTATATTCAAATACCCCATTTAAGCAATTTGTATGTGCTTTAATAACGTTTATTTAGTTATTTCGCATATAGGTGAGACCTATCCTAAGGATGAGCGCCATCAATCGAGGCTCGGGGGCTACGACCTTTCGACATACCAATGAGTGGGCTTTTGGTTTTCCATATATACCTATATACTTGAGATTTTTCCAGAAAATGAATTTGAATGATTATACGTTTTGAAATGCCATGCAGAGTATATGCCTATTTTATTTAGCATTAGTAGTTGCATATATTTATGATTGGTGCTGCGGACGCACAGGTAAATGTCAAGTAAGTTCATAAATTAAAGATACGAGATTGCTTTAGTTATGCGAGTTATGATGTGATGCATTGAGAGCTCATAAACCTGCACCCCAGTGTTAGTGCTCCCGCCCAGAGTTAGGGCATAGTCCTTCACGTGATATTCACCTACCACACCATATGCTCTCCTTGGATCCAAGTTAGGTGCACAGGCTTGTCGTACAGAACACTTTAGGTGGTTTCGACTCGTAGGTGACCCGCGATCATTCGCACAGCCTTCACATGATCGTAGCACTAGAGCATATTTATTTTACAACTAGT